ATATATATATATATATATATATATATACCCATGTGCGGAAGGTCGGAGGTCAATCTTTTCGTTTCTATATAAATATGTCCTTAAAGAAGGTACTATACAAATATACCTGCACAAGCAGTGAATTAAAATAAGACAGTAATACTCTATTATTTCAAACTTTACATTTCATGAAAGATAACAAACAGAAAGACCACATAACATATTACAGAACTTACAAAGTTGTTTTTTACTTAAGAATAATTTGCTTTTAATTGCTATAATTATCTCAAATCTCAAGTTAAAATTGTGAAAAAGAATAAACGCTCAGAATATTTTAAATGCAACTATACTCGTCAGCGGCTATTGCAACAATTTAACACTCTTAAAATTTCAGATATGAAACTGTAAATCAAAGTGTTGCGAAGAGGTAAAACAACCAACTATCACTATCACTGATAGGGTTTTGCTCAATTTTTCTATTGACAAATATGAGACGAAACAATTTATTCAAAATAGGATTTTTTAGAGACGATACAAAAGATTAATATATATAGTACTTAAAGTTCAATTACAGACATAGCTGAACTACAGATATATTTCTGAATACAGAATACATTTCAGAATTATCTGAGAAAGACTGCTATACCAATTAAACACAACAATGCCTAGCAATTAGAGCCCAAATTCTTGAAATATAGTCTTTTAAGGTGATTTCAAAGCCAATTTTTTTCTTTAAAAAGTGAGCGATTATCAATTTTTGCAATAATTACTGAATAGATTTTCACACATAATTTGCTTCATTTATTTACTTCAGAACAGGAATTCATACAATTAGCATATTTTGGTTTTTTTAATTCCAAGCATTAAGCTCATGACAATGAATGCAGTGTTACACTACTTCTACTTTTTAGCAGCTCTAGAAGTTACTACTTTATTTTATGGAGTGAAATTTGTAACATAGAATAAGAAGTTGAGCTCATTTTCAAAAAAATAAATATTTGTAAACGAACTAAAAGAAAGATATATGTAGTATGCATTCATTCCTCTTTTATTTATCATTGTACACAAGTAGAACCTATATTAGATCCTTTATTTATATATACTAAACTGATAGATCAAAATTTGAAGTAGAACTTCTAGAATGCATGTGAAATGAAAGCAGTAGCGTATTGTGTGCAGCGTGAGATGTACTCAAGTCACTTACGTCAGTCAATGAGCAGGAAAGACGCGTAATTACTCAGGACACATGAGGCACACCTCTGCCTCCCACACATCATCTTTTCAACTGTGAAATTTGCATCTTTTCTGGTAGACTGAATTAGTAAAGTGCACACAATCCCCACACCCCCTTCTTCCTCCTCGCGCCATCCCATACTACAATGTTCTTCAATAACTGCATAATCATGGATGCACATTCACCCTCACGCATGAATCACCCACAAAGTGATGACTCATTTTTCTACTAAATCCATCATACTTACCTAGCTCTCTCTGCTGCGTTTTACTTGAATCAGTTTATTTCTAGCTCAAGTACGCTCGTAACGCTGATTTACGCACATTTTTAAACTCATTTTCTCGCATTCATGTATTCTTATTCTGAATACTCATGTCAGCGAAACATACTAGCACACTAAATTCGGTATCAAAATTTGCATATTCAAAGATCACAAATTTGTCATACCATATAAATTTCTGCACTTGACACAATCAGTCAAGATTCACTCATTACTACATCTAGTCGCGCGTATACATACTTCTTTTCACAAATTATTAACTCTAATAACAACAAGCTTTTCTTTCTCCATAAAGGAAGAAATATGAAATTTATAAGCAATTTGTGACACTGTAAAATGAAGTCCTACGAATAATATTTATACCACAACTAGAATCCTACTAATAATGTTCTTCATCAAATGAAATCTCACCAACATATTAGCAATAATATTCCATGTTACAAAGAGCATTCGAACATCACAATCTACTGCTTCACAATTAGAAAAAAAATCTTGACAATCGGAAGTCCTAATGCAACCAGTCACTAAAAAGAGCAATGATGGTAGTGTGAGACATCACAGTCGCTAACTGACCGTCGCTTTGCAAAAAATCTTGCATCACTTATCTTCAGTGATTACTTCACATATGTAAACAACTCTTGTTAACTATATTCATGAGGAAGTTTAGAAGTGGTACTCTTGTACTCGCAACTTTCTCATTATGGTTAATACATACCTCAGCATTAATTCAAATCACTCATAAAAGCTGAATCAAACATGTAAGCTTATGGTAACATTTCTGATACGTCGAAAAACATTAAATAAATGAAATACTGCTACTGAATATAGACCACCTATTGAACGATCATAATAAGTCTATGTGAAACAGTAATTTACTAAAAACACAAAATTTAGCTAGTCAGATTAATGAAATTATTTTCATGAAATATCAGACGCTCATCGGTCATCGGCTCATCGACTCATCGGTCTTGCAAAGTGTAAAATTTAATTACGCTTTAACTCATGCCTATATGATACGTTTGAATTATTCATTAAAACCACATAAAACGACTAAAAAATCTTGTGGCTTCAATGAAAATAAAGAAGATAACTACAAACATGTACTAAACAACTATCTACTCACAATAAATTCATAAAAACAAAAATCGACTCGGAAGGTCAAGGGTGAATTTATTTGAATTAAAACACTACTCATCTAATACAGATAACATCAGCAATTGTCACAAACTCTCAGCTCTAATTGTTAGAACATAATTAGCAAGCAATAATTTCCCTCATACAATTTGCTTTTACCAACTTCACGGAGCCCATACACGATTGCTTCATTCGCCATCAATAAAACTGAGCGATTTCCATGAAATCAAAGCGAATAAATTCGACTCAAAGGAAAATTAACTTTTAAATGAGGAAATACCGATAGCAATAAAAGACTTCTATAAGAACATAAAGGGTTGTCTTAATATAAATGAGAGCAAAAACATTACAATAATGAGTTTGCAAATACTTGTATCAGATTCAAGTAGTTGGATGCTTAATACAGTGATTTTGGATGCTTCCTAAAATATACATACAATGAACTTTCAAGTAACTTAAAATACGGCAATATTAAGAGCTATTTCAAAAACAAAACTTTGCCATCTAGTCGAGTTTCCAAAGAATGATTCACATGTTTCATGTAAATCAAACAATGTTTGTACAAGATTTATACTAGTGTAGTAGCTATAACTAAAAAGCTTTTATTTACTATTCTTCAATTTTCAAAATGCAAATAAAGCTGGAAAATCATTAAAATTCTGTGTTTTCATCAAATTTATTTGTCTAAAATATTAGGCACATATATTTTAAACTTGAGTGATCTTTATTTGTTGTTTATGGAACATGTACAAATTGATCAGCAACATTTTTCCTTGCCTTCCAATTTTTCCTTTCATGATGAAAAACCGCATTATATCCTTTTATACAATAAAAATAAAGTTGTTACTACATAACAACTAGAAAAATATCTTTGCCGAAATAAAAAATTGAAATCAGTGAAAATCACAAAAATTGGAGACAAAAAATGAGAAACAAATCAGCTAACTTACCGAGCAAAAGAAGTTTGAGTTCTCGTCGAGCATTACGTTTATCACGTTGCAACTGCTTTTCAATCTCTTGATTTATGCGTTTCTGCTCCCTTGCCTCCTCAGAAAGGCAGCAGGCCATCGGGGCCGTTTTGGCTGCCCGTAAAATGAACAGGTTTGCCGGTTTAGCGTAATTGTCGCGTGAAATACCGAGTACAACGTACGTATTACAGTGACGCGCACTCAGCAAGTCGTCAGTCAGCAAAATAGTAAAACTGCTAGCAAAATAATTACGACTATATAGAATAAGATGCAATGCAGTCCGCAAAAGCAAACAGCGTTGAGGCAACACAAATCAGGGGCGCAAAATAACGGTAAACAGTAAAATAACAAACCAGTGCCTTAAATGAAAAAAGAAATTATCCCATCAATTTAACACAATTATATTAATTTTGAGCTTTTAAATCATAAAACATTGTCACTACTCTAAACTTCTAGAAATAATTTAATGTCAGTGCTCTTGTTCTTCCACTTTAAATAATGAATAAATGTAACAGAGACAAACCAAATCAGTGCATAATAGTAAAATTAAGCTTTCAATAGCTGCGGTAGTAATCCTCCACAAATCTGTCAAAATTCATTAAAAAATGGAAAACTGATAGTTCACATTCAAAAAAGCAATGCCGAAATGTGTTTCTACTTCCACAGTGACAAAAGTGGCTTCTGAACTGAAAAAATATTAATGTTGAAATATCTTTTGAATAGTATAAATAACAAATACTCCATGATGTAGCAAAAAAATAACATAACACTAGCAGTATAAAAAAAATGATAAAACAGGAAGTAACTGCTTACTCGTAGGTGACTAAAGACCTAAAATGTGAATCATCTAACGCATGCAAGCTCCAATTTTGCAATGAGATTCAAGAGGAAAAAACCAACAGCAAGAAAGAACTTAAACTGTATATCACGGAATATAGAGTTACTAAATTTATCTACGAATCCCTACAAATTTCATACATTACATCATACGGAATAAAAAATTGTGCCCGAGCAAAGAAGAAACACAGTGAGAAGCAACTGTAAATAATTAAAATTCCCTGTCTCAACGTGAAGTATGAAAACGTGTTAATAACAAAAAATAATTATCGGAAACTTCAACTTCTGAATTAAACTAAATGTTACAATGTCTAAATATATATGGGTGTACCTAATTCAAATGCATGCACACGTGTACACATCTTAAATGCAAAAGAAAGTAAAGCAAAACATATATTCCTGCCAAAGTTTAACATCGTGCTTCTGTCTTAATAGTGAAGTGATGGGTGGGGGTGGTTAGCAGAGGGTGGTTACAACGCAAAAATACGCAAAATGTCACTCAGTGATGAATAGCGTCAATACTGAAAATCGTGTCATGTGTGTGTTTGTGTATGTTAGCGTACATGTGTGTTTATGTAAGGACCTAATTACAATATGTGTCAGTATATTTAGACATAGAAGACACGAAGTGCTGTCACGTTAATCAGTGTCAAAGCATTTAAAAAAACTGAGAAATACGATGCATAAGAAACTAAACGCGAACACAACACCTGGATTCCTCGGTTAGACTGAGAAACATTTTTTAAATGCTTAGGTGAAGTAAGTAATATATAATATCTACACGCATATTCGGATATATGAGTCTTGCGAGTAGATACGAGCAAGCATAAATGCGTATAATGTATATTTGTATGAATATTCGTAGGTAATTGCACTTATTTGCAAAGCAAATTGCAGAGAGCGTGCGTGCGTGCATGCAAGCACATGCAGAACGGAAAACGTGGTTGAACAGACACATGGAGACGAAGAAAGACGTGAGAGAAGACGCAGTTGAAAGCAGGGAGACACGTACGCGTAACTGAGAATGAGTAAGAACGGAATTGATGCACTAGTATACTTGGCACAAGCGCAATATTCTTCTCGTAACGGGCCGTTTGCATGCTTGCAAGCTGCTCACTTACATAACATACACTTTCCTGCTAGCTAACGATGCAAGCTAGCTAACTTTGCCGTTCTCTGCCTGCAATCATTTCACGTTCATCTTACTCTTCGCCAATTAGACAAAAAGAGGAACAGAGAGAGACCATGAGAATATGCGAAGAACAAAGAATGAGAGAAAATCTGGCAGTAGGAATAGTGAAGAGAAGGATAAAAAAGAGAATATGTTAGTAACATATTTTGCAGCGTAAACATTTTATTTACTCGAAATGTTCCACAACCTCTCCATACTACACATATACAGGGAAAGAGAAGACGAAGAGAGAGATAGAAGAAATGAGATCTTTAGGCCTGGCTTACCTAACCAAAAAGCCTTACTTCAAAGGCATAGTCAACAAGCTAGTCTAGGCTAGACTACAACAATTAGACATATACATATAT